GCAATCAACAGAGTCAGTGTTTTAACCACTTGAGCCACTGCATCCCTAACCACAATAAACTACAGTTCTCAAAATTTCATAGCACTGAGCTATGACAATGAAAGTGGTAGAATTCAAAGATATAGCCATGTTAGTCTGTACAATCTTGTAGCACCTTTGAGACTTTGTTATTGTTATTGTTAACTGCCTTCACATCAATCTCGACCCATGGTGACTCTATGGATGAGACATCTCCAGGGCCCCTTGTTATCTACTGCTCTGCCCAGCTCCTGCAAACTCATATTCATGGTCTCTTTAATAAAGTCCATCCATCTAGCATTTGGCCTTCCTCTCTTTCTATTTCCCTCCACCTTTCCTAACATTAATGTCTTTTCCAATGATTCATGCCTTCTCATGATGTGTCCAAAGTATGACAGTCTAAGTCTTGTCATCTTGGCTTCTAGGGATATCTCTGGCTTAAGCTAAATTAGCAGCATGAGCTTTTGTAGACTTCAGTCTACTTCCTCAGATGCATTTGGTGAAGTGGAGGCCAGGTACAGACATATATATATGTGAGGATGTCAATTCAAATTACTAATCCTTTGTGTATGGAAATGAAGTTGCAGGTCCAGTTTTAACTATGGTCGCTAGTGCCCAAAGGCATAGGAAACTGGTCTTTGTGCATGGGGCTGAACTGATAGATCCAGTTTTATGATGGGACTAGCCTGTGTTGAGGGGAATAGAGGAATGTAGGGCACCTCTAAGAGGATGGGGTCTGCTAGTGTTGAAGTGTGTGTAGTGGGTCAGGAAACCATTGTCTTTGTTCAACCCATTGCTGAGGGACTGTAGTTTGTGGATGAATTCCATTTCTGCTGTTTCTCTTTCCAATCTACTTGTGTAGTTCTTTTGTTCAATGACTGCTGCTCTGAGGTCTTTGATGGAATGCCCAGGGAGATTAAAATGGTGTCAACTTGGATTATTTCTGCAGTGTAGATGCAGCCCCAGTTACTACTAACGTTTTATCTCATGATCCAAGGCATTGAGACTGACTTGTATTTGGCATTTAGAAAGCCTCTCAGATCAGGATCAGACCATTTTAGTTTCAAAAATGGAATGTCATTCTGCACTTTCCTTTTGGCTTTTATATTTGCATTTCACATATGAACAAATGAAACTTGGCATTGCCATCCACTGAGGGTCAAACAAGCTATTAAAGGGAATGTGAATTTTTTGCAATTAATACATGTTGTATCATCATGGGGTTTCTTCTGAGATCGGTCCCTAAGCCATCAGAGTATAAAATTATGCTGATGTTTAACTTCCAATGACCAATTAAAGAAGACAGGACTCTAAATACATAATGTGAGGACAATCATGAACTGCTACAAACAGATGTCTTACTGCTTGGGGGAACACATTTTATTCCCATTGAGAGGCACTCTCCAAAATGCAAAAACAAAGTCAATGTTGTTTATCAGCTCTGTAGAGCAGGTACTTCTGGATATGAGGGATTAAATACCACCTAGCAATTGTGGGCAAGTCACATGCTCTCAGCCTCAGGGGAAAGCAACAGGAAACTTCCTTTTCTTGGCAAGTTTCTTCAGAGGAGGTTTGCCATTGCCATCCTCTGAGGCTGAGAGAGTGTGACTTGCCCAAGGTCACCCAGTACGTTTAACAGCAATACAGTTTGGAAAAAGAAAGGGTAAAATGATGCAGTTGATTCCTTGACAGACCACAGAGAAAGAAAAAGCTACAAAGGAGCTGTCCAGAGGGTTATCTACACCTAAGAAGGCTGCACAGCCTTTTAACATAAGTTAAAAAAATAGATATCTAATCCTTTAAAAATGGACTATGGACAATGGAAACATAGGAAGAAGTTCCCAACATTGTGTAGGCAGCCATAAAAACAAGTAAAATAAATGCAGCCAGGTTTAGAAGTGTCCTGAAATCCTTTTAACTGAAGACATCTAGGATTTGTCCTAGGAACCTCTGCATGCAAAGCATGGGCTTTAACATGAGGAATGGTAGGACCATCTTACAAATCTGTAAGCTCTGTGGTTTCTCCTATTGTGGGAGAAAAGCAGGATATAAATCCATGGAATAAATAAAATAAATAAAATATTACAGCCACCACACATGGACTCAATGAGGACATCAGGCTTGCCAGACCAACAGTCTCATTGCCATCTTTTACTACTCACATCTGTAATATGGACAGAATACTTGGCTACCTTTAAAAAACTTGTAAAATTACTAGGATAATGCGAGGGAGTGATTTTCAGCATAGGAGCCAAATTCCAATTCTTATGGGTCATATTCATTCATACACTGGGCCATATTTCAGAAATGAGTGAAGGCCAAAACCAGTGTTTGTTGTTGTTGCTGTTGTTGTGTGCCTTCAAATCATTTGTGATTTATGATGACCCTAAGGCAAACCTATCTTGGCAAAAGTTGTTCAGAGGGGGTTTGCCTTTGCCTTCCTCTGAGGCTGAGAAAATGTGACTCTCCCAATGTCACACAGTGGGTTTCCATGCCCAAGCAGGGAATCGAACCCTGGTATCTAGAGTCACAGACCAACACTCAAACCACTGCTCAACACTTGCATATTCATGTTCAAGTAATAGTCCAGTTTCTTGGTAGTACTCACATGAATAAAGCGAGGAACAAATTGCATTGAGACACATCCCCCAGCATCCAATTTCTACTCCTCTTTCATAGGTCAGATAGGCTGTGGAATTATGGGGTGCATAAGGATCACCATTGAACACAATCTGCAAGGCATCACAAAAAGAGAGAATAGGATTTGTTGATAGGCCAATGGAGCTTATTAAATGAACCAAGACTGAAAAGGCAAGGAAATGTCAGGCTGAGATGGAAAAGAAAGAAAAATGGGAAGAAAAAGACCATAACTATCTGCACAATGGCTGTATCTACATTGCAGAATTAATGCAGTCTGCATATCTTAGATTGTTGAGATTTCTTCTTCCTATTTTCAGTCCTTCTTCTGTGTCCAAGCCTGCTTTTCTTATAATATGACACTTATACTTGGAATGAAAGAATTCTGAGCCCAGGATTTCACTTTGAATGAATGAAGTTCACAGTTTTTACACCCAAATCAAATCCTGAATCTAATCTGTATAGCAAAAATAATGCAGTTTGACACCACTTTAAATGCTATGGTGCAATGTTATGGAATTCTGGAACATGTAGTGTTGTGAGATATTTTGCTTTCTCTGTCAGTGTGCTCTGGTGCCACAACAAATTACAAACCCAAGGATTCCAAAATGCTGAGCCATGGCAGTTAAAGCATTATTTTTGTAGTGCCAATTAGACCCTGGTTATCCCAAGCTTTCTTCATTTCTGCAGTATAAATGGAGTATGAGGAATCAAATATTTTTGCAGTTATTGTGACCCAAATGGGAATCCAAAATCCTTGCTAATATACTACATGTCATCTAGACATCAACCAGTAGATTAAGATCTATCTTCTATGCAGTGTTTGGAAAAATTACATTTATGTAATATTGCATTCTCCAGCCATTAAAGCATGATCTGATGTTATGAAAAAGAGCTCTGGATTTGTCTGCATCTTTCTCTGCCTCCACTCCAGTCTGCTCCAAACACATTAGAGACGTCTAACCTCAATTGCTGCTAAATGCAGCTTATCAAATCAAACTGTGGTTTGTATAAACAGCAGTATGTCTGAAAACCAGGATTGTAAACTATGGCTTAGGTGTGGTTTGAATTGCTATGTCAGTTTGTAGGTAAATCATTCTTTTCAAAATTCCTAATGGAAGGATAAGCGGGAGGAGACAGAGAAGCAATGAGTCCATAAACTAGTAGCTTAGGTTTGCTCTTCCCTGTAATGTCAAACCGTTATGGCATTATGTCTGAATAGCCTCTGTGTTTCAAGCCTCTGGGAACATCATCCTCAGAAACCAGTTCCTGTCAGCTGAATTTCCAAGGCAGAGAATGAAGAAAAAGTCAGGCAGGGTTTCTTTTCTCCTTCCTCTTGAGATCTCAGCCATGCTGCTGCAGCAATACCCTCCACCAGCAAGTGGGAAAGATACGATCTAATTATCTTTTTTTTAATTTAAATGTCTCTAAATGGCATCAAATAGAGAACTGGAGGTATCAAGTTTATGTCTGTTTAAATTATCCACATATACAAATGTGGTAAACAAAGTACCATAGTAAAACACTCAAAGGAAGTATAATTTTAAAATGTACAGCACAGTTGTCTGTTCAGTCGACTGAGAGTGAGGCGGAGGGGACATTTGCAGTGCCTTGTTTGGCTTTATTTAAACACCTAAACATGAACAAAGATTTTTAGGGAGCTCCAGGGGATCATTTTTTTTATTAAAAAAAATGCTAATATCTTGTTTTGGGGAGCTTACAATACATAAAAAGACTCTTTTAAAATATCCAGCTATCCAACAGATCCAGTTCTATAATGAAGGCCTGAAGGCATTTGCTTTTGTTCTTTGAAATCTCTCAATCTGGATCTTGTGGGATATTAACAACTCTGAATTGTTAGCCATCATGCCAATATAAGTAAGTGCATGAAATAATTGGAATAATATTTTTTTTTATTTCAAGGGCATTGTATAGGGTAGCCATTTACAAATTGCCAAAGGAGGAGGAGGAGGAATACATCATCCAAAATGAGACCAAAGATGTGCAGATTTTTGTAATATTTGTATGTATATATGCAAATGTAATTACTATTATTGAGAATTTAGCTACCTACATTTTAGACAGAAATACAATACATCTCAGCACAGTGGGAAAGAACATGACCATGCAACCCATGTGCCTGCTGAGTGAATTTGCTCTTCAAGTGCTAAGCATTGATAGTTATCTTCAAGGAACCTTGACTCTCTTTTCTTACTTTTCATCATTAAATTGGATATGGGCTGGGCACTGCATCAGATAATAATAATAATAATAATAATAATAATAATAATAATAATA